CAAAACTTGTTTTTCTGGTATTTTTTCCACGTTTTGAAATACTAAATAATTTTCAAATTTACGCCTCCAGTCTTTAAATTGCGAGTAACTTAAAGTCTCTACTATCTTCTCTGGGCTGGCAACAGCACTCGAAAAGCGAACAGAAGTATTAGGTGAGTTTTCACATGTAGGAACGCTTGTATCGTTCCCTCTATCATTTCCATTAAATGTACTAATGTTCTGTTGAGAAAGTGTCATTGCAGGTGCAGGCCTCTGAGTTTTTATTAGTTCTCGCATCATTTCTTGTAAACTGTTCACACCTTCTTCAAGCGAAGTCAGGCGACCCTCAGTTGACTCATCTTTCTCAGACGATTTTGAGCGCTTCTTCTTCGGCATTCTAAGTATTCGTTTTTAGGTTTTCTTTTGGAAACGTTGGTTTATAATTATTTTAACTGCGCCATGGTAAGTTACACAATAAAAGATAAGACCTTTTGTATCTGACAACTCACTCTTTATTTCCGTCAGATCAACTGACTCCTGTAGACCCAGTAAGTATACATATAACATAAACTAAAACTAACTAAATATCATATATATACAGTAGATTATTCCCACAATTTCTCCCAACAACTTCTCATGAACGTTGCATGTACGTTGTATAGTAATGTTATTACGTTCCCTTAAAGCAACATCGCCGAAAGGCTTGGCAACGTTATGTGCTAGCCGGATATAATCTTCGATTTATATTTTAAACGCTTTTTGATTAGATACATTCAACATAAATTAACAATACATTTGATAACTTTAGAGAAAAGTCATAAGTTGGGTAGGTACGCCAGATAATTTTTAAACAAATTTTAAACCATTCATTCCCATTTATTAATTTGACCTAATATAACTTTAACAATAACTTAATTTGTTTATTATCGTTTAAAACCAATTGCTCGAGCAGGTACTAATTAATATTTATAATAATAATAATTTGATGTTCGAGAGGATTTTCCATACTGTTGTAAGTATCATGTAATGTAAGTTCCTTTTGGGATGGTTAGTATCATTATCTTCTTTTTTGTCGAATTACAAAATATTTAGTCTAGTATAGAAATTCGTTCCATAAGAACTACTATTCAAATAATTTAATTTTTAAAAATAACAAGTGCTTATTTTTGGCAAAAAAAATTATTGCCTTATCTTATATAGGCTTCAATTTCTTTTAAAACAATTAGAAAAAAGGCTATAATTCAAAAAACGGAAAAAGTACCAGAACCAAAAATTTTACAAATGAATGTGTTTATAAAAATAATAAACTAATGAATTTGTTTTGCAAACGGTAATGGCTGTGGTGATCCACCAAACCAACAATTGTGGGTGGGGCTGTTAATGACGTGATGGTCCATTAAAAAAAAAAGATTTCTTTTCAATTATTGAAGAATTATTTACAATCTTCTTGTATCACCCCCAGAAGGATGCAAGGCTATAATTAGGGATCGAGACGAAATCATACGTCACTAATATTCTTATTTTTATTTAATTAATGACAAATACTATAATCCAATAACTGTCTCATTTTTCAGTCCAACTCAAACATGAAAACCATGTACATTATGAAATTCCAAAAATGCAAATTTTTATTAAGAGCCGATTTCATGATCAATATTAAAAGGTCCATTAACTAATGGAGTCCATAAAATCTTGGTCCCTTTAGCTAATGGACCTCTTAATATTTATTAAAAAATCGGCTCTTGATAAAATTGTACATAAATTTCATGTTTGAGTAGGACTAAAACTGAAATGGAATGTTCTACAGAAATCAACCAAGAGTCTCTTTTTTGTGACAAATTGCGAAAGAAATAATTATCAATCTTAACTTTTATGAAATATAGGGTAGTCAAAAAATTTTGGATGAAAATTGTTTTTTTAACCCTTGATTCTACGCCAATGGGTTATCGTGATTTATCGAAAAAGAGTGTGTTAACTAACAATGACGACTAAAACTAACATATACATATTTTTAATTTAAAATCTTTACTGTAATGAAATATATTTAGAAAATTATGTATTTATGAAATTCAATTTATCACCCTGTAGAATAAAAACTGGGACGTTTACAGGAAAATTATATTTAGATTTTCTTATTAGTTAGTTAAGATCTCCTTATTTATGGTACTTTATCTAAAACACCCCGTATATAATCAACAGGTTAACATCACAAATGTTTAGGTATTTATATGTATATTGCCTTTAGATATGAGGAAAATCGGTGCAAATGATGAATGATATACTACCTGCAGTTCGGTACATTTAATACTCCTCCATAATTATTTAATATTCTGAGAAATATTCTAAATTACAAACTAAAGGAATAAATGTTTCAATCGCTTACAGTTATCTTTCTATTCTTTTCATCTATACACATTCATTGTAGCTAATTTATAAGATGAGATATGTTTACACGGACCATTAACAACCATTATTTAAAAAAACAACTATTGTTCTTTTTTAGATAAGAATCTTGAGCCCATGATAAAACTTATCGTGCTTTGCTACTAAGTGGATGAAGTAATAATGTTTTAAGTGTGTTGTTATGGTTCATTTTCTAGATTCAATCTTTACTTTCTCATAGTACTTTGTTTAAACTAGAGGTATTGATATGTTGCGTCAGAACAGCAACCTAAAATATTGTGGGCCTTTTGTTGCTAAAGCAGCAAGAGAATAGTTTCGGCCATCTTTTCAAAGAATTTCGGGATTTAGAGTAGCTCCAAACTGTTATACTCCCAAGTACAATGCTCTTAGAATTTGAAATGTCACACATTCTGTGAATGGGTATTTTGTCGTCCTCCTCACACAATTTGCACTTACTATGCTGTCCTTTAAGTCGGCAATGCCCAGCATGGATTCCCGCTACTGTGCAGCTTGTTCTTGCTAAGACAAATACAGGCTTTTGATTTTTTCTGGTTATAGTTACATAGAAGCCTGTCTTAGTCCTAAGAGATCATTCCAACTGGTTTTTCTACGGTCCAATTCTTTTATAATTCTCCTACCGCAGTACAACTCAGGTTTCACAAAGAATGTTTAAGCCTCTTTCCTCGCGAGGCACAAAATTGGATGGAAAAATTGATCGAAAAACATTTGATCGAATTGGAAATCAAAAATACATTTTATCTAATGGCATTTAATCAAAAATACATTTTTGATCGAAGATATATTTTATCGAATATCATCGTATCGAAAGGACAATAGATCTAAAATTCATTAGATCGAAAGGAGAATACATCGAAAATCAACAATAAAAATAGTAAAACATAAAAAAATTCAAACGACACCATGCAACCATCCGTTTAATCCCTACTAAGGGGAAACTTAACTTAGCTGCTATCAAATTAGGTACCAATGGCAAATTTTTCGATAATCTTAAACGATAGTTACCTCGTTTGACAAATTTTATCCTCACAATATTGTTTTTTTTTTTTTTTTTTTTTTTTTTTTTAATTTGGTGTCATCGGCGTCGACTACTACGGCCATTAGCCTCGTGTTCTGTGTAGGCTTTGTTACTGTTTCCCAGTACCACTTTAGGAACAGCACTGTTAATTAGAACCCAACAGTGAATGGTCAAGTGGGGAATCCTACCAAGGCATCAGAATTAATTTTAAATAATTAAATTAAATGAAAAAATTCCGGCCAACGGTGGGATTCGATCCTGAGACCTTCCGATCTCAAAGTCATGACTCTAACCACCGAGCCAACCCACATCCCCACAATATTGTTAAAATAAAAATTAATATTTTAGAGCTGAAGGGTTATTTATCTTCATTGAGATAAAAGTTTAATTAATTTACCCAACCTGTGCGACCCGGAGAACTCGAGGGTTGCTTCGCAAAAAAACTATATAGAAAAATGAGAAAAATTTTAAAAAAATCTTAACTAATTTACCTAAGCTGTGCGGCCTGGAGTCGTCGAAGGTTGCTACATAAAAAACAATATACAAAAAAGATAAAAATAAAAAAATTAAATAAGCTACCTAACCTGTGTTCCCTGGAGCAATTTAATTTTAACTGATTACTCTCGCACAGTTAAGTTAATTCAGTTAAGTTTTTTTTTTATAAAAAACTTAACTAATCTACCTAACCTGTGCAGTCTGGAACCGTCGCGGTTTTGACTCGCAAAAGAAAATATAAAAAAATGACAAAAATAAAAAAAATAACTAATTTACCTAACTTGTGCTATTTAAATTTAACTGATTGCTCTTGCAGTTAATTAAGTTTTTTATTTTTTGTAACCAGCAACGACTCTATGCCGCACAGGTTAGGTAAATTAGTTTAGTTTTTTTATTTTTTTCTATTTTTAGGTATATTTGATTTTTCTATCAAATCTATTTTAGATCAATTTTCTTTTCAATCATTGTTCTTTTCGATCATTTTTCGTTTCGATCATTTTTCGTTTCGATCATTTTTCTTTTCAATCAATTGTTATTCAATAAAATGTTTTTTCGATCAAATGTATTTGATCAATTTTGTGCCACCTCTCGTTACCCTTCAACTCGTTGTATAGTGGAACCCAAGTAAGAGTAACTGTATTTTTCTCGCCTATCTAATTCAGTTTTTCTAGACCAATTTTTAATTATTTTTTTTTAGAGCCTAGCGCTTTGATGGCTACTGGATATGAACGAAATACATTACCAAATTACACAAACTTTCAGAGTACTTAGTTCTAGGTTCATAAACAGTGGCGTAGCGTGGAACAAAGGGCGGAGGGATCGGAGTAGGCGAAGCGTTTCTCAGGCGCCAAAGATGCCCTAAACGCAAAGTGCGGGGGAGCGTCGCCCCTTGGCCCCCTTTACCCTACATCACTGTTCATAAAATTCCATACCACTGAATAGCGTGCTTTTCGGTCTCTGGGATAAAAACTTAATACATTTAAATCAAGTACATTCTATATCCTCGAAAAATAATAAATGAGCGTTTAATTCGTACTTTCCAATCTAAAGGTTCTAACATGTTTTTATAATTAAATTTTTTTTTCAGCTGCCAGGCCAGGCAACGTCTGCTACAGTAACGAACACTGCCGATTATGGACCGCAGACAGCCACTGCGATTTTCTAATTCCAAACCTATTTGGTAGATGCTCCTGCAACTCCCCCTTCAAGCAAGTCGGCGATTCTTGCGTACGAGCTGCCTTCCAAACCAAGACTTCCACGACCTCTACAACCAGTACTACCTCAACAACTACTACTACTTCCACGACGCAGAAGCCGACCACGGAATCGGAAAACCATGACATAGAATCCAATGTTATTGTCGACGATTCTACACCTAAAGTTATGGTGAGGGAACGGATTCCTGGCAAGGATCGGACAACAAAAACGGTACGGTTTTAAATAATATATTATTTTCATAAAAGATAACTAATTAATCAAGGGTAACAAGAGTCCTTTAAGTCTTTAGTTTATACTTCTTTATCTGGAATGACGTGTAAAAAAATGTTTGATTGATTTGGCTTATTTAGGTTTATTTTTGTCAGAGTAGTACCTAATAGTTTTTGAATTTTGTTCCTTTTCTCTTAAAGTTTGAAAAACATTTAAATTTTGTTCTATTTCTATTAAAGAATGTAAAACTTTTAAATTTTTTTCTCTTCCTGTTATATTTATATGTTCCTGATTTTTCATTTTGGTTTTTATTTTATTATTTGGCAATGAAACTTCTTTCTCTTCTTTACTCTTGCATTTATATGTAGTTATTCTAGTTTCAATATATTTAATTTGTATAGTTGATCTATATCAAATGTTTGACCCTTATCTATAATATCTATTTTTTGATTTAATTTAGGAAAATAATCTACTAACTATTCATGAACTATTTTGTTGATATCATTTATATTTGTATCTAAAGATTTGGTTTCTGAAGTATTAAGTTCACCCATTTTATTTGGAGATATTGCATTGTCTCCTAAATTATTTTTGTACAAATTACTGTTGATTTTTTGTAGATTATTATCACTATTTTCAGTTTCAAAAAGTTTATATATGTTTGTTTCAAAACAAATATCTTCCATACATTTAGTTTCAGAATTGTTGAATTGCGATATATTTTTATTTAATGTAGGAATAGTCCCTAAATTATTTTCTTCCGTTTCATTTATTTTTATGACTAATCTAATTTTGTAACAAAAAAGAGTCTATGAAGTAGCCACACCTCCTGACGTGTGATGTTGCCGTTATATATATTTAGTATTTAAATATGACGATAAATATAAAGGGAAATTTCGATCCGATTTACCAGTGCACATCTAATTCTGACTTGCCATCTCAATCTCGTCGTACGGTACATAATATACTATTTTTATTTAACATACCTAATAATAATAATAATAATACTCTTCCTAATTCACCCCCTTACGAGTAAATTTTAATCCCAAAAGCTAAGCTTGTGCGGGGAAAGGGTCGGTTATTATTATTTGCCGTGGCGCTCCGGGGCGACTTAAAGATGATTGATGGTGCTATTTGACCTACAGGTGAGGAAAACCCGAAAACCTCACCTACCATCATCGAGACGGTAATGCATGGCGATTTTATAATCTGCATGTCATATCAGAAATTAAATTTCTATTAATACGGCACACATCAAATCCTATACCGAACCATGCAATTTAATTAAAAATCTACATGGTCTTGTGTAGGATTCAAAGCCCGTCTGTTTCTGACCACAAACTTGCCTATAAACGAATATAAGCGCGTGAGATCACTACACAACCGACCCGATAAATAAATAAACAATAAACAATAGATATTATGTTCTCCTGAATAAGTTTAACTCATTGCCTGACATTTAAGTCTATAAAGTCTGCAATTTTTCCTAGCGCAGGGCAGGCTCGGTCTATAAGACCAAGTGCAGAGGTCATACATAGCGCCATACAGGTCTATAAGACCTTGTCACATTTTCGGCTCTGTACGATGAACGGTAATGGGGACTTCTTAGATAAGTAATTAGTTCAGAACTGGTTTATTTATATAAATAGACCGAGGTGCGAGGTGGCGTATTAAATGATCGACAACCAACCGGATCCATACCAGATGTTTGGGAGGGAAATTTTTAATAAACGAAAACTAGAGAAAATATAGAGATATGAGGGGGAGTGTGTACCACAGTCTTATTAATTTTTTTAATATTTTTGGATAGAACATTCCCCCAGTTCCCCTCCTCTGTGAATCTACAATCCACGTCTGTCGGTAACTCACCAATTTAATAATTTTTTAATTAAAAAACCGACTTCAAAATCGTGCAGATGCCCTTAAAAATTAACATTTTTCATTTTCTCATAGATCATCAGATTCTGACCAATTATATACGCATTTACCCCTGAGGTACTCCCTTTCTAACAAAAAAAGAATCATAGAAATCGGATAACGTGATATAGAATTATCGCTGAAAATACATAAAAAATGAAGAGTTTAATGATTTGCTCATAGACCTCATCATTAGATTTTGACCAAATTTATATGGGACCACCCCTGAGGTACCCCTTAACTAACAAAAAAATAATCATAGAAATCGGACGAGGTGGTAAAGAATTATCGCTGAACATACATAAAAAAAATTAAAAAATAATATTACGACGAATTGAGAACCTCCTCCTCTTTTTGAAGTCGGTTAAAAAAGGTTTGTTTTTAAAACGTGTAGTCTTGGTGATGGACCTCGAGAAGAATATTTTTTCTTTTAGTCCTGATTTATCTATCCATAGCGCTCTGGAAAAGTTTTGCTACAAACACCGTAGCAAACAATGTATTAAATGATAGAAAACATTTTTTGGACCATCATAATTGATGTCCGCTCCGTATACGAGCGATTTTGATATTTGGTATTTTCTTAATGTGAATATTCAAATTTATTGTTTTCTGTCATTTATTTGTAGATATTCATATGTGGGATGAGATCTATTGTGTAATGAACGTTTTTTTTTTTAGATTTTGTACGAAAATCGAAAGTCTTAATGCAGTCGAAACAATTTTGTAGGAATTTGTCCTAATATAAGTTTTCTTAATTATTTAAGACATCTTAACTACAGTAAATTAAATTTTTGTTCTTACTTAAAATAAAAAGTACTTAAAGTAAAAAGCGTATAAAAAATTACCTACATACCAGTAACAAAGCAGCGTTTATAAGTGGGTTAAAACTGATGGATTTAGTATTTATTATTGTATCTTTCAAGCCATTAAAATGAGTAATTATTTGCTATTTTGCTATAAAAACTACAGTTGTTCATCAATGATTTTAAATTATTTAGCATTCCTCTATTATTGTTTGTCATTACTTTAGATTGGAATTCAACAATACTGAGTATTTTTAAAACTTTATACAATTAAAAAAGAAATAAACTTAATTCTCTTGATCAAAAATAATTTCTTAAAATTAAATTCTCTTTGCTGTAGGTTCCTACGACTTCTGATTCTACCACTCGTTTACCTCATAGAGGTGTTACTTCGAAAATGGATTCAACTACCAGAGCGACCATATCAAGAAGAACCACTACCATGGAACCTACCTCGACTACACCGCACACAGATATCATCGTACCGTCAATTACTACAAGTAAGAAAATATTTTTAAAACACAACAAACTGGCAATTACAAAATTCGTTTTAATAATTTGAAATGAAATAACAATATTCTCAAAAATATTGATTTATGATTTACTTATGTACGCGGACTCTGATTCTTCTGATTAAACTAATTTCTTTAGATATTTTCTTGACTTAAATTACAAGTAGATAGCTCAATGAAATATTCTAGATTGATTTGTATCAGAGCTGGGCAGTAATTGCCTCAAAAGTGCTTGAAAACGTGCTTCAAGCACAATAGTGTTTGCAACTACTTTTAAAATACACTGCTCGGTAATTCGTAATTGCATTTCGTATTTCAGGCCATTTAAAGTGCTTACAGGTCCTCAAAAGAACTTGCAAGCACTAAATAGCTTGCAAGCACAATTAGGTTTGTGTGCTTGCAAGCACTCTAGAGGGAAAAGTCCCTAGTAACAATTAACAATCATCTATAATGTCCACGCAATATGCTGGCTGGTCATCCACATGTTGTTTAATTGATGAGGAAGTAATAAGAAACGTAAAAAGTGCTTGGTGCTTGGTAATTTTTTGGAAAAAAGGTGCTTGTAAGCACCTGCGAGTAACCAATGATGATTTCAAGCTATTTTTGAGAAATTGGTGCTTGGTAATTGAAATGCGCAATTACTTTCCTCAGTAATTGTAAGCACTGCTTGGTGTTTGATGCAGGCAATTACTTTTACAAAAGGCTTGGTGCTTGGTGCTCAAATGCTTTGCCCAGATCTGATTTGTATACTAATAATTTTCAAAATACATGAACCAATGTATGATGGTAGATTCCTCACATAAATATCAGTCTTTTTTCATATCAACATAGATCCGATTCTGCTTCGTTTCGGAACTACAGGAAGTCAAAATTTTAAAAAATAAAATATATTTTTTTCAAAATCTTTAAAATTACGAGAAAGAATGATAAGAGATTTGGGAAATTAGAAACATCTAACCAGGAGCATATTCTGTTCTGTTGATCGAATGAAAGTTATTTGCAGGATCAGACTTACAGACAAGTCCATAAAGGAAATTAAAATAAAAAATGGTACGCCATAGCTTTTTAATTTAATAAATAAAAATTTAACATGTGGGTAAAATAAAACCAGTACAGGCATGTAGGTGGCAATAATTTTTACTATGGAAGTAATTGTTATATACTATTTGATATTGTAGGAATAATTTACCAGATAAAAGGTTAGAAATAAATTATTAAATTAATAACATTACTGCATATTTTTTTAATTCGTTATTATTTCGAAAATGACACCAAATTTAAAAAGTCAGTGGCGTACCAGTTTAAAATTTACTTTCCCCTATGGACCTGTCTGTAAGACTAGTCCTGCAAATCACATTCATTCGATCAACATATCACGATATGCCCTTCTTTTAGATGTTTTCAATTGCCGAAATTTCTTATCAATCTCTTCGGTGGTTTTTTAGGTTTTGGGAAAAAATATTTTATTTTTTAAAGGTTTGAAACGAAGCAGAATCGGAACTTTGTTGATATAAAATAAAGTCTTATTTTAATGTGAGGAATCTACCCTTGAACGTTAGCCCTTTTTTACCCACCCTGTTTATAACCCTACAACTATCATCTCAATAAGTTGGTAGGTCAGGTGATTACAACACCTATTTCAGATGCATTAACCCAGATGAGACTTCTATAACCTTGCAGTTATAAGGGATATGTTCAGCTGCTTTCGTAATTGCAAAATCTGGTCCACTGCCCCTTTGCCCATTGATGTACTCTCAATTCAGATTTCTGAAGGACCAATAGTAATTAACTGTAGATACGTAGTGCGGTGAAGTAACTATAAACTTCTTCTTTAGTCCTGAAAGATTTTCCCGATGGTTTCTTCTATTTTTTTATTTTCAAATGTTCTCCATTATGTGGGGAATATAAAACGAGTAATTGTTCTTTCTTTTCCAATGCTATCGCCAATCTCAGTTCCTTCTTTGCTGGTATATCTTGGCACCCACGTTATAGTAATTATGTTTAGCAAGTTTACTATAAGGCGATTGGCGTTAGAGCCTTTATTGTGGCTTAGCTGACTGAAGCAATAACATGTCGTGCATCGAAATAACTTATCTCTTGTGGGCACAAAGTTTCAGCTTGTAAACTTGTTAGTCACGGACTGAACTGGTAAAATTTGGAGCCCATCTAGACGGTGTTATGTATGGGTAGAGTGTGTGAGGTGAATAAATGGGAAGGAGTAGGGCAACCAACTGGTAGCACAATAAGCATATGAGGTTGCATTGTCGCCATGCGAACCCCAAAGGAGGAGAAGAAAGGGACCTAAGCCTCACTGCGAATAGCTTATTTCTGGAAACTACCAACAATTCATATAGTTTACTATTTTTTTTTACTCAACCTATTAAGCTTTCCAGTGTTTGAATAATTGATTATCACAACAAAATATTAGGAGGGTTTTCGTTCTTGTAACGTTTTTTGGTTATTTTTTAGCGCTACCTCCAACAACTACAGGTATAAGAACAAGAGTCGAAACTGGAGACGAAGCTGTTAGCCTAGGACTACCGTGTGTGACCGATATGCAATGTAGAATAGCAGATCCATCCTCTAAGTGTATAGAAGGCATTTGCGATTGTGTGATCAGAAATAATGGAACAAGAGGATGTTCGGCCAGAAATAGAGGATGTATACCAGGAACTTTCCAGGTAAAAAGATAAATTTACATTTAGTGGACATGTTTTTTGTATTATAATTTCTTGATAGAAACACCTAATAGTATACTGTTTAATAACCTAAAGTCTCATAACTTTTAAAGACGAATTTGTGCGCGATTATTAACAAGTTATTGTGAATTTTGGTGAGGTTTAACTATATATAGAAAAAGAGATAATAGAATAGAATTCTAACTGACTAACGTTACTGTAGCAAGTCATAAGAAATACAATTTATGTACAAAATTATATATTAAATTATTTAAAATTGTCATAAATAATACGCAAAGGAGGGTTAGTTTGTTCATGTTACTTAACTTGAAAGTATTCCAGACATTTATTGACAGAGTAGAAGCAATACGTCATGAGAAAGGTTATCTATAACAACTTATACAAGCAATAACTGTTGATCTGATTTTTGGCAGACGAAATAGTTTGGTTGCGCTAGATGAATTTCCCCATAGAATACTATTGTAATTTAAAAATAAAATGAAGAAGAGAAAAATAGGTTGTCAGAATTAGAGTATTGTAGAGTATTAGAGAATTGTAGTTATAATACTCTAATTTTATTTTCCTAAACAAAAATATAGTACTAGATAGCTTGTTATTTAATTGTTATTATTTTTAAATCTGTACAAGAAGCGTGAGGTGTAAAGGAAAACATACATTTTGTGTTTACCTGTATTTAATTTTAAATGTAGCCAAAAACCATCTATTTGAACGTTCTATATTCTTGAAAATTGTAGAGGTTCATGATTTTTTCAGAATAAATAAAAGTGGTATCATCTACAAATAATACAAAACTAATTGGTAATATATAATTAGGCATTCGTTAATTTGTGAAGTGAACGGCCCAGTTAAATTTCATAAAAATACATTATTTTAAAATCACATAAAAAAACAAAAATATAATTTTAATATTATTAATATTTTCGTACGTGTTACTCTCTATCTTTTTGGTACACCACTGCCCTCAAGGTCTTGTCTGTCGATGCAAAATGCTGATTGAATGCGAGGTTTCCGCGAATGTCTGTAGTTGAAAAAAAAGGTCAACAGATCCGTGAAACAGTGTGCCCGCTTTGAACCATGCTATTTTTAGCGCCATTTTGTGCATCGCACGTAGATTACGACACAACAGTTAACCTCGTTTGGTCAGGTTACTTTGACTGAAAGCCTTTGATCCAACGTTGCCACTTTAAGAGATTTCTACTTTTTTAGTAAATTTTCAGCTTGTTTCGCTAGTTTTAATGGACAATTTCTTCCTATTTAAATAATTGTGTCGCTAAAAATGATTGCTAGAAACGTTAGATTATTTAAAATAATCGGCTCTATTCGATTAATCGATTTTTTCGATCAATCGATTTTTTCCATTAATCGGTTCTTTTCGATTAATTGATTTTTTTTATTCTGTCTTTTTTTTAACTATTCTTTTCGATTTTTAAAAAATCAAACACAATTATTTAAAAAAAGATTTTTTTATTTTGTTCCCGACCCAGTGCGTACGAGGAGGGACCCAAAAAAACGGGAATTAGGCTGCGGTGGGGAAGGAGAGTGGGGGAACCCATTGTTCGATCAGGTGTCCGTTACGGTCACGTCACTGGAGTTAGTGTGGAAAATTGTGTCGCTGTGAGTGTATGGGTTCGCCAGTGAGAGTTAAAAAAAAATATTTTTCCATTTCGGCGAAAACATGATTGTTGAGTGCAACGCGCCGCTGAGAAATTTTGTTTCCTGTTGAGGAAATCGGTCGTGCAAACTATTGTAATGCTTAAGACTGTTTATGAAGACGCTGCCTTAAGTAAAACCAGAGCATACGAGTGGTTTTCACGTTTTAAAAATGGAAAAATCTCAATTGAAGACCAACCTCGTTCAGGACGCCCCGTAACGTCAAGAAGTGACGAAGACGTCGACAAAATCAATGCCCTCGTTCGCGAAGACCATTGATTAACTCTTTGAAATATCTGGAATATCATGGAGTTCAATTCAGAGGATTTTATCCGAAAATTTGTACATAAGAAGTGTTTGTCCCCCACCTTTTCATAGACGAGCAAGGGGAGCGTCGACTTTAGGCATGTTTTGAGCTTCAAAATCAGCCCAAAAAGGACCCTAACGCCAATTGTTCTCCCCTTACTTACCGGATCTAACCCTATGTAATTTCTTTTTGTTCCCCAGACTCAAAAGGAATATGAAAGGAAAGCTTTTTGCCACTGTGGAGGAGGTAAAATAAAAATCGCTCGAAGGCAGGAAGAACATCTTTCGGACAGTAAAAAGATCGTTTGGAGAAGTGCGTTATGGACAATGGAGAATACTTTGAAAATTTGGTGTAAAAATACTACGAAATAAAGACATTGTGACGGATTTATTTCTTCTGCTTATAGTATAAATAAAGTTATGAACACTTCTACCGGGCAAAATGGGAACAAAATCCATTATTTTCATCTTGTCTCTTTAAAGCCCAGGATTTTTAAAGAGAAGGAAAGAATTATTGTAATAACTAATTGCCTGGTATCGATTATAGTCTGTTTAAAAACCAGGAGGAGCGATTTGAATTTAAGTTGGCAATTCTGGAGACTTCTGATTGGTCAGATTGCAGCCAGTTTCACACATCACTTTTGCATTAACATCAGCTGATAACTGACATTATTGACACTTCTGACATTTTATTTATATTTTTAGTTCTGTTATTGCTTTCGGTTTTTGTTTGATCTCTTATCATTATTACTTAGTTTTTCACTCTATTTCTTTAAAAAACAGTTCTTTTCAGAACTTCGGTAAGCAATTGTATTGAATATCTGCGATTATGGGTAATTTGAGAAAATTCCCTCCTCGTCATCAAGAAAAGCTGAAATGCAGGAGTGGTTACATATAAAAAATAATAAATTTGATTTAAATATAAAGAGGTGTCAACTTTTACACCTAATTGGGCAACATAAAGATGCACATAATTTGTATGTTGTCGATGAAATGGCAAAAGAAGCCAATAAAGTTGTTTTGCGATTGCCCCCATACCACTGCGAGTTAAATCCGATAGAATTGATATGGGCACAAATAAAGAATGAGGTGGCAGCTAAAAATACAACTTTTAAGTTAGCAGATGTGAAAGGCCTTTTATTACAAGCTATTGGAAATGTAACGCCTACAAATTAGCATAAGTTTACAACATGTGATTAAGGAAGAAGATAAAATGAACACATCAGATGGAATAATGGATGACATGATAGAGCCCTTAATAATAACTGCCAACACTGGAAGCTCAGACGAAATGGAATCTTTTGAATCCGAATCGTCTGATGTTGATTAATATATTGAGTACCAGGTGTTTTTTCTTTGTTTCTATGTAAATGTCAAGATGAACTTTGGGTTTTTACTTAATATGTTGTATAGACACTACTTATGTATTTGTTCTGTTTTGCAAACTTATTATTAATTAAAATATTATAGCAAATTTCTAAAATAAAGATAACTACTATTCATGTTGTTTTTTTAATTCACATTAAAAAAAAAAAACTTTACAAAACTGTGCACTGTAGTACATATTATAAATTGGTCAACATTGTTTCTTGGTGTTCTAGTTAAACAAAAAAACAAATTTGTTAGTTTTAAAAATTGAGGAATTTACCTAAATGATTAAACTGTAAGTGAATATTCAAGTAATTTTTATTTATTAGAAAACAAAACCATTCACAAAATTGTCACAATAAATACATATAGGTAGGTATAAATAAAATACTTTAAATTAAAAAATATACTCGTAAAATCAAATCCTGACTCATAATCTTTATTTCTGTAAGCTTTTGAATATCTTCACCCAGCGAGCACAAAACGATCTATGAATGTAACAGCTACTTCCCCATAAAACATTGAACCCATGTGATGTACTTTTAATGTTAAAGTAACCAAACAAAAATTTAAAATAAAAGCCTTACACACAGTTTTTTCAAACCACAACCAATGTTGAAATGTTTTAAGAGTTTTTACATTCACAAGTTCTAGATGATATACATAGGTATAGGTGTATTATTCTAAACAATCACTATATTCTACTTATCAGAGTCATTACTATACTCTATTTACCAGGACCATATCAATGAATTTTTTAAAAAGATGTTTTAGCAGGAAATATAATCTTATATATTTGATAAAAACCGAAGTACCTACCTATATACTCTTTTTATTAAAACACAACTCACTTAATTCTTGAACATTTATTTATTTATTTCTTAAACCCTTGAATTGAAAGATTTCTTAGAAGTAACACGTTTACTTCGATATACACATTACATGTATGTAACAAACAAAATATTCAATATAAACGTCTAATATTAGGGCCAAATCACAAATAAATGTTGATATAAAAACATCACATAATCGCCCAATTATGTTCTATGCCCTTTAGTGTATTAACTATAAGTTAACACTAAATAAGCCACATATTCATATTACTCATGGGAGGAATTCCAGTCACTGTGTAATCCAGAGTAAAGAGTACTGTGTGGTAAAGGGGTCCAAGCCACTTATTAACTTTTACTTAAGTTTATACCTACAACAAATGTACCTATCATTGAAATGTAAACAGATCGTATTTTTATATTTTATACTAACCTGCATCTGAATATTCTATTAACATTTTCTTAAATATTCAATATCCATTTCAAAAAGATTAAAGTTATTCTCAAAAAGTCGATTTTCTAACAAAAATATATAATATACTTATATTTATATTTCTGATAACCTATAACATCAACAAAGTCAACAACCATATTTAATTTCAATTTTCAATTAATTGACACTATTGACAGTTAGTTTTTGCCCAAGATCACAGAAATTTACTACCGTTGTCTGGGACCAATAAAAAGTTGACTCCTAGACATATTTATTTGTGTCTTGACCTCTCATTGGCCGTTCGCTGACTAGGACCAGTCGGACCGATAATGATAACTATTTTAGAGATTTTGAACGCGTCTATTTCGGAACACGCTCTTTAGTAACTAATTTAG